CCCCAAAACCCCAAAACCCCAAAACCCCAAAACCCCAAAACCCCGAGATAGCTGAAGAGTATTGAAATAGCTATGAGCAAAACTTTTTGACTATATCTGCAAGACTGTTGAACAATTCCAAAACATCATTCTTCGAATAGTTGAAGTTTGTGGAGGCTCTAAGTCCTTTCAAGAGCAGACTCATCAGGTCGTAGGCTCTGGCTGCTTCTTGCTCAGTCGAGTGAGTCGATATGTAGATTTTTTTGCCTAGTATGTCGATGAGAGCCTGCCATCTCACAGTGTTCTTGAACACACCTGTGAACCGAGACCTTCTATGGCTTCTACCGTTAGATCGAGAGGCAGCAATCTTTGGCTTCCTCTCCACAATCGTTATAAGAGGATCTTCAACAGCTTCTAATTGTTGGTAGAGAAGGCTGAGCTTGTGCTGGAGGTAAGCAGTCCTGTACTCCAATGATCCTCTGTGCTTTGAGAGATTTCTGGCAGGTGCATGTATAGTAGAAATAGAAAGTACTTGTTGATGAGTATTGCATTGTGCAAGATCCTGAATAAACTTATCATCTTCTGAAGTCCTCTGTGAGATCTCAAATTTTTTGACATTTTCTGAGTGACGACAACATAAATGCCCGACTTCTCAAAGACAGTAAGCTTTCATCAACGAGTCCAACTGGCTACATGAACTTGCAGCAAGATTTGGAAGATCTGACACAAACAACCCTTGTTCTGTTTTAGTCAGACCATTAAATTCAAAGAATGGCGTGTAGTTATTTTTCATTTTTATTTATTAATTATATTGCTTAAACTTTATTTTTTAAGTAGCTTCTCTGAGACTACTTTCGTACTTCCATCACGAAAAATAAGCTTAGTCTGTTCTGCAAATCTCGCTGGTGGCAATTTAATAACCCAAATGTGCAGATACTATTTTTAATATTTATGAATTAAACAAGGAGTTGTTCATTCTGAGTTTGGCCTATTGTTCTATAAGAAAGTAGCCTCTGAAATAATGACTCCCTTAGTAAGAGACCTTATCAGACTTGGAATAATAGCTTATTTTAATAAAATGTGAGCAAACATAGTGGTATATGCCTCCATCATCGTGAGCTTGCAAAAATGGCTACTTAATAAGGATGCTAGATAATACAGCAATCGAGAAAATTCTTTGGAAATATTAATAAAATGCATCCTCTGGAATGCTCAGGCATGGCCAAACTTTGAACAATAAAGATTCAATTCCTAGACATTATAGACTAATTATGTCAGAATTGCTTGCTCAGTTATTGCAGATAAATCGATATTGTTAAACTTTTTGAAAAGCAGCACTTGTATGATGTAGATACTTAAACTGAGGAGCTCCTCCCTGGGCTCCAAGAATCAAAGTGGAAAAGAGTATGAAGAACCATGATAATTTTACATCATGCTTTATGCCAAATAGTAATGGAGTCTCTGTCCTGCTAAGATTTCTCATCCATTTACAGCAAAGTGCATAAAAATAGCAACTTACTGTACAATCACCAGTAATGGAGAAGAACGAGTATGGAAATAAGTAAACCCCAAATTGGCTGGAAAATTGCTAGTCTCAAATCTAAGAGGACCGTCTTTCATAAATTGCTTCTGAACAATCCTTGAGTGTCCTCAGAATGAGATTCCTTGAAGTCTGTCAAAGCATTCTCCAAAAAGACGTTTACATATCCTGGTGAACTTAACTTACACAAAATAATTGGGATACTAATTATTAAAGACACAAAAATTAAACCTTCATTACTAGCTATATCACTTAGATGACTGGACCACTGCGGAGGTCTAGAGAATTCAAAACTAAAATGACAGGTTAGCCTACAGCATCTCTGAAATTCTGCAGACTAGAAGAAATAGGCAGACAAGCATAAAGATGTGGAGTCGATCGCTTCAGACTCATTATGCTTGCTGTCTTGTCTTTCGACAATTTTGGTAAGTTGTCTGGAAATATATTATATGAAATATGCTGAGCTCGTCGAAAAGTTACTAGACTGCTAACGATTATAATAGGTCTGAAGTTGCTAGCTCCAGTTCAGCATGCTTGGCTAGATGTCTTTACTAATCTGCAACATTACCTATGTGATGGTCTAGTCATTAAAAATGATACAATTAATCATAATAGTTTTATGCTGGTGATAATGAGTCTACCAATTATTTCGAGAGAGCAGCTAGTTCAGAGATTAAGTTACAACTCCTCCAACTCATGCTTAAGATTGTCTGAAGCATGTCGATCAAGACTCCTTCATACTTAAAGCTTCATTTTGATAAAGTCTGATAACAGGGATATGTCAATCCATAGGAAAGATCCATTAACTCGGGTCTTGTCATCTGCTACACATAAAATCTTTCTGGAAAACTAATACGAAGGTCATAAAAATGTCAAGCTTTTCGAAGGGCTTCAAATGTGCCTAAATCAAGCACGTAGCCAAGCTTGAGCTAATAAAAATTCCTTTAATAAGGCTACAAATATTCGCAGCCTTCTTGAACTTATTCCAGATGAATTCAAATGTTCAATTACAGATTGCGGTGAAAGCTGATCGTTTTTTCCAAATTTCAAGACTTATCTTGACTTGCACTTTTAAAGTCATAATTTTTAAAGATGGCTGAATATAGCAGGAAAGATTTCCCTCTGATATGCTTGAAAATTGTTTGATATGGATATCCCTTTTAGTTTTGTAGATGCTCATAGCTGAAGAACCAGGACCAGGTAGTAAATGATGATAGCTAAATCTAAAAATCACCATCCTAGCATTTTCTAATTTGTCTATTCTTATAAATACTATGCCAATTTTGTATAATAAGAGAGGCCAGGAGATAGTCTGATCAATGTTTAAGCTATCTATGAAGCTCTCTATCCTTCGAACAATGATCCTAGCAAAACCTTGCTCAATTGGTTCTAGTTTTGGCCTATTCTCCATTAGTTAAAATTTACACATGTTGAAGACTTCTAAAGTAACACAAGGACTCCTAATAGGCTTTATCAGTCTCGAAGACTTTCTAGGAGTAGTGGATAAATTTTGAGCCTTTGCTCTAGAGTGCCTTAATGTGAGAAATTAAATGACCCTGTCTTAATTTCCCAAGTCAGTCAACGACAGGATTATTAAATAACCAATTATTAAATTAACAGGGGTTAAGAGGCTTTGAGAGTTCTATTTTAAGAAATCTCTCACTGAAATGCTTAGAAGCCACTCCTAGGTGAGCTGAGCCTTCTCAATTTGTTGGACGTGCCAAGTCTATAGCAAAGTTGTCAATATTATTCTCAATTCAAAGATGTCTATTATTAGCAAATAAGAGAATTTTAAGAAATCCTCTGACTAGACCAGAACTCTGAAAATTTACTCATCTCTTTGTTGTATCTCAAGGCTTAAATCAATGACAAGTGTGGTCATGAATATTACTAGGCATCATTCATCAGGTATTTTTAATAATATTCCTATCTAAATATTATTATCAAATTATGAGCAAAAAGCAAGCTAAGACTGCGAGAACCAAGACTTGGAATTATAAACCAAGTTCAAACTTAGTGGAGAAGAAAGTATGAGTCTTACCAAGAAATTTGAAATAAAAGAGTAAAAATTATGAATATTTGTCAATCACTTTTGGCTTGCTACTAAATACTCAAGAATGTTTTTATCTCTATTTCTCTCTTAATTCTCCTACAAGATCCCTACATGCATGAGATATAGTTCAGCACTTGAAAATCCACAGAATGAATGAGAGACATCTTCAGTTGGTGAACACAAATCTGAGGTTTAATTATGGTTCTATTAGTGCCTAAAACTCAAGCTCCTTTAGTCAAAGAGTATGTTTAAGCTAGTTCCCTAATTTCAAACTTGCAGCTTTGGCAAGTTTCCCTTCTAAAATGCTTTTGAAATTTAAAGAGCTCCTCTTAGTTTACTTCATATATAAACTTTTTTATGATAAATTGCTTAACTAACTTTTATGCTTCCTTTCGGAATATCTCCAAGTATGCCAATTCAGCTAGTTTAGAGTTTAAGAGAGCTATTTGTCTCTGAAGAAGGTCAAAGGGCCTGAACTTGAAGCAGAAGGACTTCTATAAGTATTTCAATATATTGTGATGATGAATAAAGTTAGCGCTAGTCACCATGATTTCCGATCAAATTTGTTAAGGGAGCAAATTATTGGCAATCCTATCAAGCCTTCACAGATTTGGTATGGCATTAGTTTATCATATCCTGTCTTATAGACGGAAAACCTTTCTAATACCATGTTGATGAAGCAGAGAGATTTTTCATTGTTAATGCATTAAATCCAACACATGAGATCCTGTTGAAGATGGTAGGAATAAGTTTTCAGTTAATTATAGCCATCGATCACTCTGAGATGCCCTAAACCTTCAGTTAGAACTTCCTCATTTATTCAGACTGGATTGAGGACAATGCAGACAATTCTATTGAGTCTCTTCATATTTGAGGATCTCAAATATTTTTAATAGGAATAAAAGTTTAGTTATCTTTCTCTGCTTCTCCTAACTTGTTCTGCTGCTCTTGAGGCTATCAGTCATAAGAGTCATTTAATATTTCTAATTATGGCATAATGCATGTAGGGGCTTGAGTACAACGATTTGCCATGGCATACCAGATAAGGATGTTTTTGCAATACGAGTATATTAAATATCTGATTGGCTGAATTGACTTAGGCAACTTTTTACTCCAAGACTCAATTCTAACAAATGTTTATTCGAAGTATCCTTCAACATAAATAAGCAAATTCATACTCTCAGATGTGAGTTTGATCAAGACCACAATTCGATTTTGCAGCCAATACTCTTGATGGCCCATAAAAGATGGCTAAAGGTATAACAAAGAAAAGTTGTCTAAATATTTCAGTATTTTAGGGCCTGTCTTCAACTTCATTTCTAGGGAGACCTAGCCATAGACTCTAAAGTGGAGGATGATGATATCCTATGCTCAATCCGTGCTTGAAAAATATTTAAGATCTTGCCATAAAAAGTATCCAAAATCTAGAGTCTAAGTTAACGGGCTTAGACCGAAACATATCCCTATCTTTTAAATGGATTACAACTAAACCTTGGAAGAAGAAGATATCATTTTTAAGCACTAGATTTCCTCAGAGAGGAAACTGATGAGGCAAATAATCCCACTAGCCAATGATTTACCATGTATCATTTCGATCCACTTGAAACGACTTTACGACTTTCATTGAAGAATAAACATTCAACTTCTTTGTGGAATAGATATGGCTCGATAAAGCCACACAAATGAACTAGTTTGAATAGAATATTGCATTCTGATTCAGATTACTTTAGATCATAAATAAATCCACAATCCCATAAAAGAAGTGTTTCTCGTGCTTTTTCAAGAAGATTCAAGCATTTCTTCTGTCTTCTACCATCAATTCTTATGTAGGAAAATGCTTAAGGCGATCATTAGGCGTAAGAACAACCAGCAGCAGTTTAATTCGCCTCAGTAGCTGTCACCTCAAACTTGAACTTCCAACTAGTACATGAAATTGATTTCCAAACAGTCAAATTATAGCTGTCTTTATCTCCCAGAGTGTTCTAGCTGATAACAACATGTGGGAAACCTTAATCTGAGACTTTTGGTAATTATCATGGACGCTTTCAAGACCCTAAGCAGCTCGGAGCCACCTTAGATTTGAATATCCAGACATTATATTTAGTCCAAACATTGGCAATGATATAATTACTTAAGGGGTTTTGGGGTTTTGGGGTTTTGGGGTTTTGGGGTTTTGGGG